CCAACCGAATAGATGATATAATAGGCTGGCTCCGCTCCTTTTTGCCCTAATTCTAGTTCTAGGAAGAAAATGGTGCAGATTCGCTCTTTGAGGATGCTCCATTCAAGGCTTTAGTGGTTCGTCTGACTAACAATAAGAGGCGAAACGAACCACCTCTTATTCTTGACCAATCAATTTCTAACGCGTTAGTACTTTGAAAAAATGGTAGTGGTCGCTCTAACGCAAAGCTAATAGTACTTTTAGACAGAGCAGGAAACGGGCTTTCTAAAAATATGCAAAATGTAGAGGTCAGTGGAAATTCAATCAGAACTAATGCTTTGAAACTTAAACTGTCGAAAACGGCAATAACTTTCCTTATCACCTAATGAAGTGATGAAACGTCAATAATACCATATAGAAATCAAAAAAAATACCGTTCATGGACAATTCCACTAAAATATTTATTATAACTTCTGACCTCGTATTCAAATAAGTATGACTAATAATAGTGTAAATGACGTCATAAAGCATGCGGTCTCCTTCAATGATGAGGACTCTATACAGCATTTTTGAATGCACTAAATCCTCAACGACCCTCACAATAGCTAAGGCTCCACCAGTTTTTAGTAAAGGCATCAACAGATTGAAATATTCAGATAGTTGGAGGCAAATACGATGGCGTTCTGTTCAGCGTCTGATTTTGATGGAGCCAGTGGCCCATCGAGGCGCAAATAGCCGACAAGGATCTGAAAGTGAATACCTTGACTTGTTGTACCGAATAATACGACAGGCAAAAATAAACCCTCTTTCAAAAAACGAGAAGAGCGTCGGGTGCAGACCATACACCACAAGTGACGACGGCCTCCAAGTAAATCTGGTTAGTAGTGGTTCATAGTGATAGCTGATTTTTGGTAAATGATAGTTGTAATTAGTGACAACTGATAGAATACAACTGCAACAGGCTAATCATTTCATTGGCAGAAAACATTTACATTTTGTGGAGGCCGTCGTCACTTGTGGTGTATGGTCTGCACCCGACGCTCTTCTCGTTTTTTGAAAAGGGGTATACACTCCATATCTGGACTCTGAATCAGGGTCAACCGTTGGTTACTGTTTTAGCGAAAAGATTGCGCTCGCGATCTTGGGAGGAGGGAGGGATAGGGGTCCTATTGGGATGAGAAAGTTTAATCATGTTTGAAAAAAATGTGGGTCGTATTTGTTCGCGCGGGTATTTGATGATTTTGGTGAAACTGTTGTGAGTAAGGTGAAAACGAGCGAAACCGGAAGATTTGCCACATCAAACAATTTCTCCTCCCTCCCCCTGCCCTACGGCAGGTTTTTTAAGGGGAAAGTGGGCGGAGTCGGGCTGTGTCGATTGGTCTTAGAACTAAGTACTAAAGGCTATGCTACAGGCTATAGAAACAGTTATGATACCGAGAGTGGTTGTTATTAGAGGAGTCTCGTAAAGCTGATGGTCGTGTTGGGACCGCACCGAGACCCGGCGCAAAAATTTGAAAAAAAGCGAGCGCGACGGTAAACCGTGGTCTGAATGGGCTACCTACAGAATCCTAGATAAATGGACCACAGGATAGATGTCGTAGGGATGTTCAGCCGTTTTGGTAGTTTTCAGCGCTAGTTGACCTCGCTGGGCTTCTATGTGAAGAGGCAAATCTGCTGGAGTGAACATATCACCCTCAGAAATCTACATCAGAAACTATACTGCATAGTACAATCCATTCGAGTCCACCTGTCCTCAGACAGTCCCAGCGGCTTTGCAGACACGGCCCACTCCAGATAGATATAGATACGTAAGTTTAACTGGTAACCCGGAAAGGAAATAGAATCCTACAGTGGTCAACGTAGAATAACACGAAGCATCTAGTGAATGAACCACTGCACGAACGTGTAACAAGCGACTTTTTGATCTCCCAATCCATGATTGCGCACTCTTTCGGCGAACGCCTAAAGTTTACCGTGCAGCAAGAAAAAAAGGACAAAGCGTTGGAAACTAACACAATTCCTCTACTTTCAATCGGTAGGGCTACAGCGACAAACGATTCGCCGATTTTTTGTTCAAATTTTTACGTTCAGCAGAAGGTTTTTTAATATTTCTGAACTGTTCATTTCAGTGTCAATGGATTCCTATCACTACATCACACAATACCTTTCTCTGACATTGTGAACGTTTTGCTCAGATAGCTCTTTGTCTCTGTTCTTTTTAAGTAATAGTTTAATCATAAGGTGACGTGGGTAGTATTGAAGGTTCCCTGAGCTTCATAATTTCGATGCAGGATATATGTGAATCGAAGACTCTTTTTCATAAAACTTTACTGATAACGTTTCGGGCATAAGCCCTTCTTCAGATCAACTGAAAAACATTGCACAATACAATTCAACACAACAAACATTGTTAAATAGCAAGTGCATCCTACCTATGCCGTCCTACAGTAAAGGAGGGGGGAGGGGAGGACGGGATGGTTGAGAACGGAAGAATGAGGAAGGTATGCTACGGGGCTTTTAAGTGTTAGTTTATAACCACTTAAAAGCCCACGTAGCATACCTTCTTCATTCTTCTGTTCTCAACCATCCCGCCCTCCCCTTCCCCTTCCTTTACTGTAGGACGGCATAGGTAGGATGCACTTGCTATTTAACAATGTTTGTTGTGTTGAATTGTATTGTGCAATGTTTTTCAGTTGATCTGAAGAAGGGCTTAGGCCCGAAACGTTATCAGTAAAGTTTTATGAAAAAGAGTCTTCGATTCACATATATCCTGCTAAAGTTACACTCTTCCAATGACTAGTCTTTCACTCTGGGAGTGCCACGAGCTAGGGGCCTAGTGCAGTAAGCCCCGGCGAGATGGTCCCTAACCCTCTGCATCGTGGACAAATGCCCCTATTGCCTGATCAACGCAAACTACTTCATCAAGCCGAAGTAGAACACAGGATTTAAGGACCCATCCGCTGCCGAAGCATGCAGCCCGCGTCCCCAGCCACGACGAAATGCAGATACCTGCTGGTCGATTGTCGAGTCAACTGAGGACCCATTGAAGGATCGCGCCACGACGACCATTTCCTTTTCGATTGGTACCGTGACGCGACCACCCATAGCTATCAAAAGGCTGTGACTTATCATTCCCTCCCCCCCCCCCCCTTCAGAGGTATGCGTCCATTTCCCTCAATGCTATCTTTCTTCAGCCTAGAGGGGAACGGAATCAGAGTTCGGTGACCCGCCTCCCGGTTGGAACCCACCTATTTCTCCCTGTAGGTGATGGAGCTGGGGACTGTCTGACGGTACAACTATAGAAGGTGTGGCGGGTGCTAGCACGACCTCCCACACCTCTAGGATAGCTTCGAAGGAGAGGCGCGTCTCCCCGGGGGACAGATGCTCAGGCTATGAATAGCTGCATCTCACAGGATGTCAAGTCGGACAGCTTGCCTCCACTCTTCACCGGCCAAGAACATCACTAACTTTTCTGTCTTCCTCTAATCAACACTCTATGCATGACCGGCGACTTCTCCCATCAACTATCTAAAGACGGAGCTTGCCATCTGATAGGGAGCTCGCCACTGATAGTCTCTGAACTGTGTTCGGACCCTTGAGTACACCAGCAGAGCCCGCGAGAGCAGTGGAGCAGACGGCCAGCACGACAGTCGCGTCGCACGTCGTGCATGATTCTAGCGTCAAGCTCGAATAACTGTGTGCGGATCCAACATCATACAAGAAAGGAAGAATAGAAACGAGCCAATAAGCTGACATGTCTGCGTTCTGCCTCCTCGGTCGCAAAAAAGAGGCCTCTCTGTCGGTACCTCGAACTCTTTATGAATGCATGCGATCATCCGTTAAACGGAATTACCGCCACTAAAAAGGCTTTCGTAGAGGCCGTCCAATTTTTCATAGCGAACTCTCTAAATCTGTTATACCTCGTCAACCGGACATCACTCACCTTTATTAGATGCGACTGTTCCGGAAGTGCACTTATGGGCACTGATGCTGAGGTGGCGGCGGTATGAAGAGCATCGGCATCGATGAGCCAACGGGAGTCGTTGACACTGGTGTTTGAGCAGGTGTGAGAAGTGGCACATCAAGAATTGGAGACGTGAACAAAGGCGTTTCAACTTGCAACAGAGGAAATCCCTCGAAGCTGTGTGCGGCACTGAACAGTCCTGCTTTGTGCAGATAAGATACTTGCAACCCATAAAACATATTATCACCAGCCTTATCAAACATTGGTTTGTAGGTATAGCATTTCTATGTATGTCTACTCGTAATCAATCATAAAATCTTTACGCGCCACAACTCTAGACTTGATCTGGTTTTGACTGTATTTACCAAAATATTTGACCAGGTCAAATGGTATTGACCCCCCAAGCTTTCATTACAGCTGTCTTCGTATTCCTGCCGTCTGTCTATAGAAGCTCTCCGTTCGACTACCCACTCAACTACATGTCAGATGGCCACACGCCTGCGAAACGAAGGCTCTGCGCATTTTCAAGCAAAATGGTGCGAGTTTAAAGGTAGCCACATTAGCTAATACCTCGAGACACTACTACACTCACAGTTGGCCTCATGAAAAAAAGCAAAATGATCAGAACTCCAGAACGGCATGGCTGGTGCTTTGGCAGGATCAAGCTTGCGTTAAGGAGTCCTCGGCGAGGGATTCATTGAGCAGTTGAGAGTTGAGAGAGAGCGGGGTCTTAGTGCCGAGTCATGACAATCGAACAAGTGTAACTGTTCGAGAGGGCATGGGACTGAAACTCGCGCCGGATGTCGCTGAATTGATTGAGTGCACGGCGTGTCTTGTGAGAGTTTGGCCTCCTTGCAGTACACTTCTATGGTGAACGCTATCTGAGTGGGAGAAGAATCGCGACGAGAGGCGTGGATATTGATGCATTGACGCGACTCTAAGCCGTCCTCCTCAGCATTTACACTCTGGCTCTCTGCTGAACGGCTGGAGTCAACAGTTATTCATCGGTGGGCGTGCAGCGTTTGTTGCTGTGGCTCAGCGGCGTGGCTGAGCGCATCTCTGCTTAGACCGCTGAAGCAAACTTTTTGCTGCGAAATGTATCACCCACCAGACTTCACATCATCCAAATTTATCACCCAGGCAACATACTGTGCCCGTCTGCACTTCGACTAGACTACGCACTTTTCCGCCTTTTTCCCTCATTTTCGACCTCGGCTTCTTTGTGCTCCCTCCTTGATGATGAAATCTTGAAGCTCTAGCGGACATCCAGCACTAGCCTGCTTCCTCGCACGCCTCTGAAATGCCGTTTTCGCTCCAGAATTCGATGAGGCGGTGGTAGAAAAATCGTTCGGGCAAACCCGGGAGGATAGGTCTAACCGGAAGACTATTCTATGGTTCCATCAGCAGCCAGCCCAGATCCGCCCATGGGTTGACGGCACAGCTAAGTCCATTCCCTTATATACAGGGGGGGGCCAAAAAAAAAGACATTTTGCCTATGTCGGACTTCGGCTCTTTTTTCTTCGCAGAGATTGCTGTCGTTGACGGAGTTCCTCAGCAGAGTATTCCCTAAGTGTCCCTCTATAAGTGAACGCAGGCCCTCCTTCACTGCCCTCACCGTCTTCAGAATATGACGTCATCTGTCACCGTCGTCAGGCTCAAGGAGGTCTACCGTAAGAGCTTCAGCCTGAAGCTCTTACGCAATTTCGTGAATCGATTTAATGTTGGATAGTTTTCTAGAGGCATTAGCTACCACTGTGCAAATCCCCTCGGAACTAGCTTTCCAGTAAGGGTCGTTATGGTACACGATCCTTCGAAGACCCCATTGAGATCGACCAGTGCACCATGTTTCCAGGGCAAATTCTTCTGATGCCGTCCACGTACGGTGGCCACTATGAAGATTTTCTTATAGAATGGAATGCGCTCTTTAATAATAAGTTGGAACCATTCGGTCTGAATTGAGCAAAATGTGCTTAAATCCATCTGGAAGTGGAGACAAAATGTCTTTTTTTTATTGGCCCCCCCTGTATACATGTCCTGTGATTCTCTCCGCCTCATCTCATATTATATCGCTCTCTCTTCTTATCCTCCACAGCTCAGAAAAAGGCCTTTTTTTCAGTTCAAGCGGCTTCATCGCCTTTTCTTCTTGTCGCACCTCCGCTTCCACTTTCGAGCTAAACAGCTTTTAGCGCTGTTTGCCCATTCTGTGTACACTCTAGCAATGATATGAAGATATGTAAAGGATTGGAACCAATTGATTTGTTATCTGTTTAACAGTTAGCTTCAATTAGTCGACCCACCTCCCAACCCCAAAAAAAAAAAAAAAAAAAAAAAAAAAAAAAAAAAAAAAAAAAAAAAAAAAAAAAAAAAAAAAAAAAAAAAAAAAAAAAAAAAAAAAAAAAAAAAAAAAAAAAAAAAAAAAAAAAAAAAAAAAAAAAAAAAAAAAAAAAAAAAAAAAAAAAAAAAAAAAAAAAAAAAAAAAAAAAAAAAAAAAAAAAAAAAAAAAAAAAAAAAAAAAAAAAAAAAAAAAAAAAAAAAAAAAAAAAAAAAAAAACCAAAATTGGAGGCTTGTCGTACATAAATGGGTTTTACGGTAAGTAGTCGGTGTTTTCCGAATGGGAGGAGATTTTTTGGTGGTTCGTCCAGGAGGCGGCGGTCGAGCCCACGATACCTCTAGGCGGCTTCCGTTCTGAATTAACATTCAGTTTTTGAAAAAATCCGAATGAGCGCGCAGAGAATCCTGAGAAACGCTAGGAGAATTCCTACCAGTAAGGCACCGTTGTGTTTCTCTTTTGCGACTTCTGCTTGAGCTCTTTTATGAAATCGTACGAAACCATAAGTTCGTTGGATCTTTACGCGTGCAACTCCCTGCAATTGTACTCAATGTAGGCAAAAATTGTTACCGGTGCTACTACTTTTACAACTGGGAACCAGATGGTTCCAAGGATCTATTCAAATAAAGATAGATGCACATCTTATATGTATTCTTCAAGTTTTAAGCTCTGAAGAGGTTAAGAACCGATAATAGACAGCCATGGAGGGAGCATCGGAACAGTGGAGCACTTCCAACACCAGTGGAGCGATCCAGCCGTCGCGAGTTTGAGCCAGGCAGTAAAGGCGCGGAACGCGGCATGGACAAGAGGAAGCAGTTCGAAGGTGCTCCAGATCACTCAAAGGGAAAATGTACCGAACAGTGGTAAGGCCTGCGATGCTATACGGCAGCGAGTGCTGAACAAGAACCACGAAAGGCAGCTTCACTCCGCTGAATGAGGATGCTGAGATGGGCCTATGGCTGGATGCGACTGGACAGAGTCAGAAACAAGCTACGTTGTCCAACAAGAGGTGAGGGAACAATGTCAGCGATTGTATGAGCACGTACTGAGAAGGCTACAGGACCACCCGATAAGAAAAGCGTTGGACATCGAAGCCCACAGTAGCGACCCGGAGAAATGGTGGAGCAACGTCTTAAAGGAGGACCTTATTGGCGTCAGGGTCAAATCAGGGTCAAGTCAGGGTCAATCAGTAAAGAACATTTCATGGTCTCAGGATTACCTGTTTGATTTGAAATTCAATAGGGAGAGGGACATTATAAATCAGATAAGCCCTGAATGTTTCGATTCTCCCATGAACTGGATACGAGTTGCCGGTGCCAACTAAACTTATTTTTCATTCTTACAAGGGTTCAGTCGAGAAAAACCACTCCGGGAATCAATGTCCTTTTAATGGTGAAACTCCAGTTCGGGGGGGGGGCACTCCATTGCTATCTTATCCATAGTACTAGAGAGCACTCCTTTGGGCTATCCAACACTATGGATAAGATAGTAAGTAAGCGACCCATTTCAAGCGCACTTTTGGAGGCAGAGGTGTCCACTCCTGGTCCAGGAACCGTTCCCTTGGACCATGGCAGGCGGAAATGTGAAAGCATCTCAGGGTTTCTCCCACATTACACCGATACTTTATCAGAAGTATACTTTAAATGAGTCGATTACGTGTCATGAGCGCTCTCATCCTAC